CAAGACAGATATTTAAGTGATGATGGGGGTAAGAGGCCTGAACTGCGTCATAGAGTTGTGTGTGTTTGCTTCCCTTCCAGAGGCATGTTTCTAATCCTTTAAGTCTCAAGTTCTCACTATAGGTGCAGTGCCCAGAGCTCATAAGCATTTCCAAGTCCTATCAAATCATTTGAGAGCTGGACAAGAAAATGTCCTGGCTCTAAAATAAAAAGCAAACTGTAAAATGAAATTAATAAATATTTCAAGAGGAAAATTATATAAATTCGTTTAATTCTTTTCATAAAACACTGTGCTTTTCCTGTGGGATAGAGCTACATTTTCCAGTGTTTGATAGGATGTGGGATGAGGCCTCTAAAAGATAATCAAGGGTTTATGTAACCCTTGAACTGGCCCTTTTGCTTGGCATAGTTCAGGCAGGGAAGATCCAGTGTGTTAAGACTTTCAGCAAGGTTGGGCAGGCAGAGTGGAAGGCAAAAGCCCAAGTCACCATAGCCAGAAATGTAGGGGAGGGGAGGAGAAGAGACTGGAGGGAAGGGTATCTGCGACAGTTGCAGAGGTTGGCTTGACTAAGTGCTGAGAGATGCAGGCACAGAGCCCCTGGAGATGGTGCAGACTGGTTTCTAATTTTGGAAGTGGTCATACCAGGGTTTCCAATTCAGCAGGCAAGCTAGCAGTGAAAGACTGAAATGTAGGAGAACCATCTGGAGGCTGGTGGCCATTCAGTGTTGTGCAGAGGGATAAATACAGAATTGACAAAAGCAAGACAGCAGGGCTTAGTTTCTAAAGTGTGGAGGCAACAGGGAAGTGAGGACAGAACAGGAGAATCTGGTTCTTCTGACGCACCAGAGCAGTGGAAAATCAGTGAGTCAAGGAACACCGAGGCCCAGAGGTTCCAAGCCTCCTGGGTTTACCTAGTATCTGATTGGCCACAAGGCAATTTCAGGAACACCACAGAAGGTCAACCAATGAGACTGGACTTCCAGATTGCTTGTCTGGGAGCAGAGCCTAATTCTATTCTACATGGATCCTCCTTGGGAGGAGGAGCACCTGAGTCTAAGTGAACCAGGTTGTGATTCAATCTAAGATTAATCTGGAGACAGGACCCCTTTGTGTGTCCAGAGAAATAGGCATGGAATTGCCGTTTCTTGAGTCAGGTTCCAAGGTGAGTGGGGTGAAGTGGCTCCAATTTAGGAGAAGGACACAAAGACAGGAAAACACCCAGTGTGTACTGCAGGGACAGATGTTTAAACAAACTCCTCTAGCCAGGTACTGCCCTGATAGGGAGGAGGGTGTGTCTTTCTGAGGCGACTACAGACCCTGACCTGGAGACATTGTGATGACTGAGCAGAGATAAAAGAGGAGGAGACTGAATAGTTGTACCTCTAGAGCCAATTAGGGCTGGTGCAGAGGCTGGTGACCTCTGGCTGAAAAACAGAGTGGAGAGCTTTAGACTTTCCCTGGGTCTGTATCCAGGGTCCAGGGCCAACCAAAACTTCTCTGGTTACCTGAGAGCAGAAAAGGAGCAGGGCCAGTGCACCAGCAGGAGAGAGCTTAGCCAGCCGAGCTGAGGAGAGAGGTCATTAGGGACTAGATCATGGTAGCAGTGACCACCTGGATTCTGGCAGAGTAAAAGAATTCCAGCAACAGTAAGTGACTTTGGATAAGAGCCCTCAGCTGATGCCTGGAGGGATGCTGTAGGGGCTTTGGATAATCTTGTAGAAGAGATCATTTTTATTGTTCTTCTTTTATTACACTATGAATAGAGGACCTGCACTTAGGGTGGTCAAGACTTTTCCTGGATGATATATTCCCCAGCAGAAGTACTGCTATTTATAATGCATGAGGCACTTAACGATACAGAATCTATGGATTACTAGCATTTCAAGAGCGTCAACCACGTTTTAAACCTAGTTAAAATGAATAGATGTAGCAGTATACCAACTATTCAAATTATTCTTCACATTTTTCACAAGAAAAACAGCAAAAATTATCTCTCCTATAGTAGACCTGGCAGATTATCCAAAGAACCAAAGCAGTACATATATGAATGTGTATTTAATTTGAAACAAAGAAGCATTCTGAAATATTTGACATAATGTGACTAGGGACATAAAGGTAAGGGTGTCAGCTGGGCACTGTGGCTCACGCCTATAATCTTAGCACTTTGGGAGGCCAAGTCAGAAAGATCACTTGAAGCCAGGAGTTCCAGACCAGCCTAGGCAACATGGTGAAACCCTGTCTCTACAAAAAATAAAATGAAAAAAAAAAAAAAAAAAAAAAAGAATAGCTAGACTTGATAGTCAGGAGGCTGACATGGGAGGATCGCTTGGGCCCAGGAGGTTAAGACTGCACTGAGCTGTGATTGCATCACTGCCCTCCAGCCTGGGTAATAGAGCAAAACACTGTCTCAGAAAAAAATAAAATAAAGAGAAAGGAAGGGTGTCAATGAAAGAATCAAAGGACTTAAAAATGGTCCTGTTCTCAGAACTCAGGGTAGGCCCTGTTCTGAGTTTCCCGAGAATTCTCTGGGAATGATTTTTGAATGATAAGTTCATAAAATGTACAGGTTCTTTTCTGTCATAGGCATCACTAGACAAGGGTTACCGGTGTTAATTGTTTAAGCTCTGAAGTATTTTGTATCCTTAAGAAGCCAGTATCATATGACATAAAAGTATTACAAAACTAGGAATTCACAATCAAGGTGAAAAGCCAGAGGCAGAAAAAGAAATGGAGATGTGGGAAGAGAGAATGAAATTACATGTACAATAATTTATAAGTTATTAATATTAAACAAGGGTTTTGGTGTTTCCTTACAGATAAAAGGCCTAATATTTATTACAGTGAAAAATAATTGGCAAATGAGCTGTCTTTTCTTTCCACAATGATTCCAGAAGCTAAATGTCATTTTAATTGTATAAGTGTTAGCTTATGGAAGTTAGGACTGAGTTTGGTTTCCTCGAAGAAAATTTAGGAAAGGAGGGGATAATGATTAGAAAAATATGTGCGATGCCAGGCATGGTGGTACACATCTGTAGTCCCAGCTACTCAGGAGGCTGAAACAGGTAGATCACTTAAGTCCAGGAGTCTGAAGCTGTAGTGAGCCATCATCATGCCTGTGAATAACCACTGTGCTCCAGCCTGAGCAAAAAAGAAAAAAAAAAAAAAAAAAAAAAGAAAGAAAAAGGAAAAATTTTAAAAGTGTGGAAACCAGCTTATTAGCAAAGAGCTTGATGGACTGCATTAAAACGTGTAGGGGCATTAGCAAAATGTCCAGAAGCAGCAAGCCCAAAAAGTTATATCACTGAGGATTCATAAAGTATTGCATGTTTGCTAACAAGCATATTCCTTGCTTTTTTTAAAAATCTCTAGTAAAAAGATTAAGCCTAGGGAAAAGACTCTGAGAATAGCTTGAGGAGCAATTTGACATCCTTGTAGTGGAAGTTTATTGAATCAGTTCCCAATTTCAACCCAGTCAACTGTGAAGGGTTAGTATCACTCTTAACTTCCAATTGGAAATGTACTTGATGCACTTATAATTTAATTCTTTGAGTATATTACATTTATTAGGTGTCTTACAATTTTTAAAGGGGTTTAAAGAGCTAAAAGGCTTAGTCAAAAATTACATGTAATTTTTACTATATGTCACATACCATAAAGTTAACACGGGTGCACAGTGAGATTAGTAAATAGTTTTAACTTCTTTGCTGGCCTTTGAAGATGGTGAAATGTTTGCACTAATATTTCCTCTCTCCACCAACTCTTCCCCTACTCCCTATGCTCACTTTCAGTTCTGTTTTTTAACTTTTGGACATCCTTGATCTGCATAAACATTCTACCAACTCAGCCCAAGACAACTTTGAATTTAATGGTTATGCTGCTAATTTTATCTTTATCTGAAAACTTTTGGCACAGATTGTATCCCAAGCACGTTTTGTCTTAAATAAGTCAATAAGATTGCTAATGTAAGGCCAGGAGCAGTGGCTCACACCTGTAATTCCAGCACTTTGGGAGGCAGAGGTGGGTGGATCACTTGAGGCCAGGAGTTTGAGTCCAGCTTGGGCAACATGGTGAGACTCCATCTCTACTAAAAACGCAAAAATTAGCTGGGCTAACGTGTGTGGTCCCAGCTACTCAGTGGCTGAGGCGCAGAACTCCTTGAATCTGGGAGGTGGAGGTTGCAGTAAGCCAAGATCGCGCCACTGCACTCCAGCCTGGGCTACTGAGCGAGACCGTCTCAAACAAATAAAAATAAAAAAGAAATAAATAAAAAAGATTGCTAATGTAGTATTGATTTAAAATGAGGAGGTTCTGCCTGTCCAGTATTCATAATCCCAGTAATCACTGGATGAATTACTTGCCCTTTCTAGTTCTTAAAATGGGAATAATTTCTACCTTGAAATTTTAGAGAGGTTGTTGGAAGAATAAAGAGAGATGATACAAGTCTATGCTTAGAATACTCATCACATAGCAAAATAAAAAAATATTTTTCCTCCCCACTCTCTCTTTTCTTGGAAAGCCAGGTAAGCAATGAGTTGATTTATGACCGGGTGTGGTGATTCACGCTTGTAAATCCCAGCATTTTGGGAGACCAAGGTGGGAGGATCCCTTGAGCTCAGGAGTTCAAGATCTGCTTGGGCAATATTGCAGGACCTCGTCTCTACAAAAGATTAAGATTAGATTAAGATTACCCGGGCGTGGCGCATACCTGTAGTCCCAGCTACTTGGAAGGCTGAGTGGGAATATCACTTGAGCCCAGGAGGTCGAAAGCTTGAGGCTGCAGTGGTACCACTGCACTCCAGCCTGGATGAGAGAGCCCTGTCTCAAAAAAAAAAAAAAAAAAAAAAAAAAAAAAAAAATGCTGTCATATGCACAGTTAAAGTAAAAAGAGTTGGGATCCTTGAACGACATTTGCGCCTGCTCTGTCAGAGTCTCAACTGTTGGTCCCCCAAACTTCTTTACAGAAGTTTACTCCTGGTAGCTTGATTAAGTATCATTGTCCCATGGTTGTGAGGAATAAAGAGCTAAGTTGTCACCCCTTTTTAGACTAAATGTCTGAAGAGACGAGGTAGTCACTTCCTCTCTTCACACATTTGTGCAGTTCCAGGAGACTACCTGCTCTCCTGGAAGTGCACTCACTTCCTAGGCTTCCCTGGCCGCCCTTCGGGAGGCTCTCAGGTCCTGAGACTTCCAGCTGAGCCTCATCCTCTCAACCAGAAAACTGGCTCCAGGGCGCACTTTATCTACCTGGAAAGTTCTCGATTTCCAGTTGGAGCCTGTATACTGCTGGTTGTGTCTCAGCAGTTTTTACAGATCTGGGTTCACAACCAGAGGTTAGCAAAAGTTCTACCCTGGCTTCCGAGACTGCTACAGCCCCCAAAAATTCCTGTGCGCACAAAAGGCCGTCGCCTTTGGCACCTTCCGCGGATTAGACAAGTTAGGGGGTCTCAGCAGGCTTGGGTCAGGCCAAGCAAGGCACCTCCGTGCCCCTAGCCAGAGCGGTGCGGGCTGCGGAGCCTACCCAGCCGGGAGCCCAGTGCCAGGCGGCAGCGGCTTCCCAAGCGCGGCGGCAGATCCGGGCCCGCCCGGAAGTGCCCGGCGCTGGAGGAGGGAGCAAGGGCCCGCGAGTCGCCGCCGCCGCGCGCACGCGCCCTCGCGGGCTGAGTACAGGGCTAGAGTCGTAACTCGGCAGCCGGAGCCCAGACTGGCCCGCGGCGGGGGGGTGGGTGGGGGCTGCGCGGGGGCGGGAGCAGTGGAGGTGGCCGCCCCTGGCGGCGGGTTTGTTTATCCCGGAGAAGAAGTTTGGAAGCGGGAGATAGGGAAGGAGGGCGGGCCGGGGAGGAGGGATGCGGTTCGGCGGAGGCGGCCGCCACAGGGACTTGCCGCCATCACCCCTGCCGCCGCCACCGCAGCCTCGGGCTCCCAGGGTCGACTCGGCCGCCGCCTCAGCAGGAGAGGAGCCTCCTCCGGGACTGCCAGCTGCCGCCCCGCACGTCCAGGTACGCTCCCCTTCCCCTCCCCCTCCCTCTCCCCCGGTCCCCGCGGCAGCCGCGGACGCTCGCTGCCCTCCTCAGGCTCGCCGGAGCCCGGCGGCCTCCTGCTCGCGCCTCACTGCGCCCTCTTCCCTCTAGGTCCCGGACCCCCGACTCGGGCACGTTCTGGCCTGCTTTGGGGGCTACCTCTGCGCCCACGGACCGCACTTCCCGCGCGCGGCGGCGCCGCTTCCCCTGGGGATTCCCCCAATCCCCCTTGATTTCCCTGCCTCCGCCTTCCAGGATCCCCTGTAGTTTTACCACCGGGCCTCGCCCCTTCTTTTCCTCTGGCCTCCCTCCTCCCCTATACCTGTATGCCTCCATGCCTGCCGCTTTTCACCTGAGTGCTGCCCAAAGCCAGAAGCTGCCTCCTCTTCCACCACGCAGCGTCCGAGTTCATACCTCCTCCTCATCCCAAATACAGACACTTGAAACTCTCATGCCTGTTAGCCCATTTTAGGCAGGAGTTCTCAGCTCTGCAGACCGCTGAGTACCTCCACTCCGGTGGTCATATCCTTAACCTCCCCACCTGCAAGCACACACTTGCTTTCTCATACATTTTTGCTCACTTATACCAGAGTACAGCAAGCTAACCGCGCGGTTCAGAGTCCAAGTCTTGAAAAGCCCGCTTTTATTCCTGCTGCTCTCCTTTTTCCTAATTCTTTTTGAGTCGATGTATTTGTATACTGATTCAACATAAAAGAAAAGGGATGGTAGCATTTTCTCTCTCAAAGCAGTCACAGAACCCAGTAGAAATAAGATTCACCATCTGCTTATCCTGACTTTCACTTCTCTTTCCTGACTGAACTCTGTCATTCAGTGAATCTTTCCAGACTTCTGATGCTTTGTCTGTATTTGAATAATCTTGGGCCTAGTTTGACCCATTGTAGTACTCACTTTCCCACTTGAATCCACAGTTTCTTGGACTGGAAACTGACGAGGTAAAAGGTTCATACCTTGGAAAATTAATTTCTCCTGCCACAATGGGACTGGTGGAATATTTCAAATGACCATTTCTTCATTCTTATGAGAAATGTTGCCTAGTGGTTAAGAACTCTTCTCTAGAGCTCAGGCTAGTGTAGTTGCCAGGGTGTAAACCCTTGCTCTGCCGTCTACCAACATTGGCTTTGGGCAAGTTATTTGATATCTCTGGACCTCAGTAGTCTCACAGCTGTAAAATGGGGTTATAATATTACCTCATAGGCTGGTGCTGGTGATTGCACAAGTAAATACAAGTAAAGCACTTACAACAGTGCCTGGCACAGGGCAAATATCTGATAAATGTTCTCTTTATCATCAGTTCTTGATTTGACTTGATCTGGCTTGTGAGTAGGTTAATTCGAAGAGAAGAAGGTGGGAATGGAAAGCTGCCCTCTTTGGTATTTAACATCCTTTTTGATGTAAACAGCATTTATAATCGTATAAATTACTTCCTTCTGATTTGAAAACTACAGGGTTTTAGCCCACCATGTTCAAGTCAGCTAACTACCGAGCTACAGATAGGTCAGTCCTTTCAGATGTCTATTTGGAACTTCTACAATTTACTTTTGTTTTGAGAATAAACAAAGTGAAAGTACTGTGTATAACAGATTCATCATAATGGAAAATGAGGTTTTACAGATAAAAATTGTAGCACTGTAAGTTAAATACTCAAAATTGGTGGTATTCTTCATACTCATCTGACCTTTATCTTGAATCACTACTCGAGATAGAGTTTTGGCTTGGCTTCATTCAGAAGATTGGTGACCGTTTTCTCTTAATATGTTATGTTCATTCATATTCACAAGTCTTCTTTGCTTGTTTACTGAATTTTACTCACTTTTAAAAATGCTGACAGTTTTTGCTATGTTTGCTTACCTCTTGTGCTCTATTGCTTACTTAATACATTTTTTAAGGACTCACATTAAAAGGCCTGAACAGATATTACTTTAGTGTTGTTTTAAATAGTAAAAATTTGAAATCACTATTTGCTGTCCTAATTACATGTAAAAATATGTACATATGTAACTATCAAAATAAAAATGTTTCTCCTTTTATAGTCTAAAATAATTCTTGTGCCACTATGGCACATGTTTCGTACTTTGGGTGACACTGCTTTTGGTAATGCTGTTCCCTGACCTAGAATAACCTTTACTCTTTCTCCTGCATATCCAGATTCTACCTATATTCCACCTCTCACTGCTTCCACATAGTTCCTTCCAAAATTTAGTTTCTTGATTTTCCTAATGTCTATATCTGCATTTTTGGCCATGAATTTGTATAAGCACTGCAGGTTGAAGAAAAATAACTTCCCTAGAATCAGACTTTTAAAGCTTATAGACACTTTGAAAGGTTGGGATAAAACTGACATTTAGCATCTACTCTATGCCAGCACTGTATCTTTGGTTTTGTAAAGAGCCTTTTCAAAAATATTTAATGAGCATCTACCATGTGCCAGGCACTGGGGATACATGAGAGTGGTCCTTCTCAACCACGTTTCTGGTGAAAATCAAACCCTAATGCTCTGAGGCATCTAAAGTATGTAATGAAGTACCTCATCTCCTATGCACCTAGAATGGTACTAGCTATGTATCATTCTTGAGAGAACTGAGGAAGTAGTTACTCCAGTCAGTTTTTGTAGGGTTTAATTTCTGCAGAGCCCTACCTGTACAGAGAAGAGTAATATGTAGTCTCTGCTTTTTTTGTAATTTATATTCTAATGTGCCACTGACAGGCAGTTTATATATATTAACTTACTTGAACACCATAGTAATTCTTTAAGAAGGCTTTTTTATCCCCATTTTACAAATGGGGAACTTAAGAAACAGATTACTTCTGCAAAATCAGACAGTTGAGAAAGTATTGCAGCCAGGCAATTGTAGTTCTAATCTATTACTCTTTTGCTTCTCACACCTTTCACTTCCTTGTTGATTTACTTTAGAGAAGACTCACTTCCTTGTTGATTAGAGAAAATTCTCTGCCTTTCTGAATATCTTATTTATTTTTATAAATTTAAGCTTGATAGTAGAATTTCCTTCTCTTTTTATGTTGTTTAGTAAAGAAAGTAAAGGTGATTAAACTTTAGTATAGAACCTGGTCAGAATTCTTATGTCAAGCCTTATATATAACTAGATATTGAAGCCATTTACATTTGGTGGTCATGCTCACTGTTTTGTTTCCTTACTTGGATTTGTTCGCTTAACAAAAGTTTATTAACAACTCATCTGTGCCAGGCACTGTCTCTGGTGACTCGTGGTAATGGAGAGAGATTACTTGTACTCATGGAGGCAGAAGTCTGTTTGGGGAAAAAAGAAACTAAAGAAAAAAATGATAGGCTGGGCACCATAGCTCATGCCTGTAACCCCAGCACTTTGGGAGGCCAAGGCGGGCTTATCATTTAAGATCAGGAGTTTGAGACCAGCCTGGCTAACATGGTGAAACCCCTCCCTACTAAAAAAAAAAAAAAAAAAAAAAAAATACAACAGTTAGCTGGGTGTGGTGGCACACACCTGTAGTCCCAGTTACTTGGGAGGCTGAGGCAGGTGAATCACTTGAACCCCGGAGACAGAGGTTGCAGTGATCTGCGATCCAGCCTGAGCAACAGAGTGACACTCCATCTAAAAAAAAGAAAAAAGAAAAAATTATAAAAAATAGTTACTGAAACTGCTACAAAGGAGAATCATTGTAAAGAATGAAGGCACACCACTCCATCAGGGAATACGCCTCTGAAGAAATGACTTTTAGGCAGAAACCTAAAGGATGAACTGCAGTGACCCAAGTGATGTTGGCAATTTCACCTTTCTAGAACTGAAAGGTCTAGTAAGAACTGGACCTTAGCACATGAGGTTGGTTGATGGAGAATAGACTGGAGCAGATCACAATGGCTAAATCCATGCTAAGCATTTTGTACTTAATCCTAAGAGCAATAGGAAGCCACCAGAGAATGTTAAACAGCTGAATAAGTTATCCAAATTTTTGCTAAAAAAAAAAATCACTTGGCTGCTCTGTAGAGGACAGGTTGGAAAGAGGCAAATGTAAATACAGGGAGACCAGTTAAGTTATTGCTTCTCGAACTTAGCTGTGTTGACAGTCCAATTTTGTTTTAATTTTCAAGTCATACTGATATTTAGTAACACAATACAATGTATGTTGTGGCAGTGTCAAATTGCTGTAGAAGTTCCCAAAATTGCTGTAAAAGCTCCAAAAGAACTGCTTTCTCTCAGTTTCTAGATTTATTTTATTTCAGACCAATAACCAAAGTTTGTGGACCAATGCTGGTGCACACAGATCATACGTTGAATAGCACTGAGATTAGCTATTAGAATAATGTAGTCAAGAGTTGATGGAACCTTGGTTCAGGATGGCAGTGATAGAAACTAGCCCGATTTGACAAATATTTGGGAGGTAAAATTGATAGGATTTAGAGGTGAATGAGATTTGGAGGTTCTAGGGAGAGCAAAAGGCTGACTTTCAGGGCCAGTAGTTCTTGTGCCTAAGGTGGGAGTACTGGAAGAAGAGCAGTTTTTTATTTTGTAGTTTCAGGAATGAGGAGGTATTGATCATTTTTCAGTTTGAGACTTATTAAACTTGAGACCGAGACATACAAGTAGAGGTGTCTAGTAGCAACTGGATAGGTCTGGAGCTCAGCAAAGAGGTTTGGGAATAGCATACAGTTTGTAATCGATGTCTTGGAGTGCAGGATGAGATTGCTTAAGGAGATATTATAGAGAAGATAAAGGGGCTTATGAGTAAGCCCTGTGAATCTTTCACGTTTGAACTTTCGCAGAAAGAAATGGAAGAAAAGAGGCTGAGAAGGAAGAAGCTAGAGGTTGGAGGAAAATTTTGTTGGTATCACTGAAGCCAAAGCAATAGACTGAAGAAGTCTAAAAGATACTTCAATGTCTTTTAGATATTGAAAATATCTAAATACTCAACTAAGTATTTTGAATGCAACTGGGAAATCAATCAAGTGGCAAACTGAAGAGCATATACTGAATTCAGCAACATGAAGAAAATTTTGTATTTCTGGTAGTAAATCCACCCATAAACTGCTGGATGGTGAATTTTATATTAATCTGCCAAAGCTACAATCCTAAATTAAAACAAAATTATTAAATCTATAACATGAGCCATATCTGTCTTCCTGAGTTCAGACATATTTTATCATCTGGCTGTTCTATAAGTATCCAAAACTTGTCACAACTTATTAATTCATAGTATATATTTTTAAATACTATTTATCAGACACTGAATACTAAACTTCTAGGTATGGGATTAGAATTCAGAGACTAGAGCCATGGATGATTAAACAATATTTGTTTTTCTAATGTGATTAGTGCTGTCATCACAGTTTATTCAGGTTGTCTTGGAAGCACAGACCAGGGGCATCAGGAGGCTTTCTAGGGAAAATGATGCTTGAGCAAAGTGTTTCTGAAAGTCAAGTTACATAGGTGGAGAAGGTGAGTTAAACATGGGTGGTAGAGGAGTTTAAAGAAGTGATACTTTAAGTAATTTGAAAGCCTGCAAAGGCTGAAATTGGGGCTAGAGTTCATGGATAGTAGGCTGGAGAGGTTGGCAATGCCATTTAAGCGTTTCTCACTTGAACTTGTATCTTTTTGGGATTTTTTTTTAATTAATATTCTTAACACCCATATAGTCACTAAATGTGGAGGTATCTTTTTAGTGTCTTTAAAAAGTAAAGATTTCTGTATTTTAGTATTTATTGCCTAAGGTAGTGTTTTATTTTTGCTAGTCAGCTTTACATTATATATATTAAACCTATACTTACAAACTCATTCAATAACTGATAGGGTAGCATACTTAAATATTTTAGTTACATTCCAGTGACTTACTATGGAAGAAATTTTATACATGTAACTTTTTCTCAACTTTAGGGAGTTTAAAAGGAAAGCCTTGCTAAGGATTGTTGAAGATGTACTACTAAACCTTGGGTATATGGTTTTGGGCTCAGTAGAATGATAGCAGTCTCTTTATAGCTTAAATGTTATTTTAAGTGATTGTATTACATCAAAGAGTCTACAAATCCCTGGACTTTTCTCTTGGAGCATGGGTAGAATACAATTTATCTACAGACATGGATAAACTTTTTGAAGAATATTGTAGTTGGCAGAACCTTAATTGGGAAGGACAAAGTCTCATAGAAAATAATGGGATAGAAAGGAAAATTATGTTAAAATGAACTTTAGGTTTTATTTTATTTTATTTTATTTTAGACAGAGTCTTGCTGTATCACCCGGGCTGGAGTGCGGTGACACGATCTTGGCTTACTGCAACCTCTGTCTCCTGGGTTCAAATGATTCTCCTGCCTCCGCCTCCTGAGTGGCTGGGGCTATAGGCACAGCCACCATGCCCAGCTAACTTTTGTACTTTTAGTGGAGATGGCATTTCAGCATGTTGACCAAGCTGGTCTTGAACTCCTGACCTCGAGTAATCCTGCCACCTCGGCCTCCCACCTTGGCTCATGCCTATAATCCCAGCACTTTGGGATTATAGGCTCAGGCCTATAATCCTATAATCCAAAGTGCTGGGATTATAGGCATGAGCCACTGCACCTGGCCAAAATGAATTTTATGAACACAGTAAATGAAGAGTTCTAGAAAACATCTATTTTATTTTATTTCATTTCATTTTATTTTATTTTATTTTATTTTTTGGCAGAGACAGGGGCTCACTATCTTGCCTAGGCTTGTCTCCAACTCCTGGCCTCAAACGATCCTCCCACCTTGGCTTCCCAAAGTGCTGGATTACAGATGTGAGCTACCCAACCCAGCCATAGAAGGAATATACTTTAAAACAGGGTCACTTCTATTAAACCTTGTTTCTGAAATAACTTCTTAAGTTATTGTAGAAACATCATTGTGTTACTTTCTTCCACTAAGGTAGTGTTCCTGAAATTTTATGTTAGGAAAATTGTAATTTTAAAAATTTATTTTTACTAGTTTTTACTGGCTTTAAAATCTTTTCATCTTACCTTCTCCTTGGTTTTAAGTTTTGTATGTCTTGGGTAACGACTGTATGCTTTTCAAGTATTGATTATGGCTTTTAGAGATACCCTTTTAGAGGCCTTTTATCTTTTTGTTGAATATTACTATAGCTCCTGTTTGGTATTCTTTATACCTGCTTGTATGTTCTAAAGGAGGTCAGAATAATTATTAGCATTATATTCTGAATTGTGTAATATATGAGACTAAACTTTACATAGGTAAAAGCTGGCAGATTAAAACAATTTTTTATCCTCAAGTATAAAACCATGGTTGGGATGAAAATATTCATCTCTGTGATATGAATATATTTAAAAAATACTCCCCTTCCCTTAACACACACACTTCTTTGGAGTTGGTTTGTTTGCTTTCGTCGTATATTAGCTAAATGAATAAAAATATTTAGGGTTAACAATTGAAAATAAAGAGGTGTTTTTATTTTCTTTATAACTAATGCAGATCTGAAGGTTAATAGTATACCTAAAAAGTAGTATCATGCTTTTGGAATATTATTTTATTGGTATAAGCTGAGAATAAATTAAAAAAACAAAAATAACAAAATATTATATTTATTGACAAAATATCATTGTTTTCTGTTTGGGTATGTTTTCTGAAGCAAATTTAACAATGTTTTTCTTGTGTAAACTGCATTTGTAATTACCCTCCCTGAGCCCCCCTTCAAGTAGTTGAGTGATTTTTTTAAAAAATAGATTTTATTTTTTTGAAGATATTTTAGGTTCACTGAAGAAATTGAGCAGACTCTACAAAGATTTTCCATATACCCCCTGCACCCAAATAGACATAGCCTCCCTCCCCAGACCCCCACTTCAAGTAGTTAAGTGATATTTTAAAGTAGATTTTTTTTTTTTGAAGCTGTTTTAGGTTCACTGAAGAAGTTGAGCAGAATCTACAAAGATTTTCCGTATACCCCCTGCACCCATACAGACATAGCCTCCTCCTTATCACCATCCCCACCACAGTGGCCCATTTTTTAAACTGATGAATCTACATTGACCCATCATTATCACCCAGAGTGCATTATTTACATTAGATTCATGGTTGGTATTGTATAATATTTTCTATGGATTTGGACAATTTTTATGACATGTATCTGCCCTTACGATGTCTCTTACAGGGTGCTTTCACAGCCCTAAAAATCATCTGACCTAGGCCTATCCAATCTTCCTACCTGCAGCCCCTGACAACCATTGGTCTTTTTACTGTTTTGCCATTTCCAAAGTGTGTAAACTTTTCAGATTAGTTTCTTTCACTTAGTATTATACATTTTAAGTTTCCTCTGTGTCTTTTCATGGCTCAATACCTCATTTCTTTTTAATGCTAAATAATATTTTATTATCTGAATGTACTACAGTTTTTGACCTACTGAAGGTTGTCTTTGTTATTTACAAGTTTTGCAGATTACAAATAAAGCTGTTATGAAAAACCTTGTGCAGGTTTTTATGTAGACATAGGTTTTTCAGCTCTTCTTGGTAAATATCAAGGACCATGACTGATGGATAGCATGATAAGAATATGTTTAGTTTTGTAGGAAACCGCCAACTGTCTTTCCAAGTGACCATACCATATTGCATTCACACCAGCAATGAGTGAGAGTTGCTGTTGTTTCACATCCTTGTCAGTGTTTGGTATTATGCTGCTGTTGGTTGAAGTAGTCTATAGATGTCCATTATGTCCAGTTGATTGTGTTCAAATTTGTCATTACTGATTTTCTGCCTGGGGATCTGCCCATTTCTGTTAGAGGGTGTTGAGTGCCCAACTATGATAGTGGATTCATTTATTTCTCCTTGCAAATCAGATTTTGTCTTACATTTTTTGACACTTGTTAGGTACATATAAATTATGGAGACTTTACCTCTTTATCACTTTATAATGACCCTCTTTATTCCTGATAACTTTCCTCACATTAAAGTATAATTAAGTGATTTTTAAGGTAAAAATTTCAATAGTCTCAAGGTGTTTTTTCGGCTGTCATTTGGATATATTTTTTACTGTTTTAATGGGAAATTCCTCTGTAAATAGTTTTTATAATATAAGACCAAAAAATGAAATAAAATAACAGTGAGTGTAAATTTGTTCTGAGATTGCCAAGGCAAGTACAAATACAGGAAGCTGCCAAATACCTAAATGAATTGAATTTCATTTAATTATTATTATTATTATTATTATTATTTTGGTGGCAACACTTCAGATCAGTTTAAATCTTTGTTAACTATTTAGGAATTAAGTCAAGTTTTGGTAGAAAAGCTCAAGTAGGGCATGGGCACACACTAAGCAGATTTAGTCATTTCTGATTGCATTTAAGGTGCATCTTTATTCTGCATGTATAATTTGAAAATTAAAAAAGTACATCTTTTAAAACATGAAAATACTCTTTCCTGTAAGCATTTTATCAATGGTGTTTGAGAACTGGCTTAAATTGTGGAGTATTTTGGTTTATGCGTTAATGTTGTTGATGATTTTATTTTTCTCGAGTGTCTGATTTATTTTTACTGTTGTCTGTCTGCCTCTCCCTACTCCAAGTCTTTTATCCACAACAATTTCATCTTTAAGTTGTATAATGAAACGTGTATTTTCTCTTTGAGAGTATAATAGGTGTGTTCGCACGTGGGCCTTAGAAACTGACAACCTTCTACAGTGTAAAGATAACCTTTACACCAAATTTCCTCATAGACTATTTTATTTAAAAGAGAAGAAGTATGCTTTGTGAAGCACTTGTGCCATACAGACACTGTGTCAAGTACTTTAGACATTTTATCTCATTTACTTCTTATCACTAACCCATGAGGTATAGATAATATCATAATTTTTTGAATCACAATTGCTGTCAATTACCAGATGCATTATTATTTTGTGTACCCCAGAGAGAGAGCAGTGCAGATTATAATTGTAAGATGCTGTCAATTTCAGAAATGTTCAAATGTGACAAAAATAGTTGTCTTAGAATTAGTGAAAAGTAGAATTAGTGCTACCTTGTTTTGTGGTTATCACTCAGGGTTCTCAAGACAACTCATCTCCCAAAATGAGGTGAAGTCAGGACAAATATAAATCTGCTTTACTCCAGAGCTCTTCAGGAATCATAGCATAGAGACTAAGAGCATACAGCCACCCTGCCATTTAATAGCTGTATTACTTTAGGGAAGTTACTGAAAGTCTCAGTTTTCTCTTCGGTAAAATGGAAATAGGAATGATAATGGTATCACCATATAGTTATAAGAACCAAATGAGTTGTATATACATTTATAATGTGCTTTCCATGAGGTTAAATGCTTTGCATATATATTGGTTAATTAAAACAGTATTACTGTTTCTCATCTAAGTAAATCCTTGCTTAAAGGGAAGGGGAAAAGAGGCTTATCAAATGGTTCATTGATATTTTGTGTACACAATAAATATTAGAGTATTTTATTGATTTGTCTTTTAAAACTAATATAAGATTGCAGTCTTGACAATTTTGACATCAAAATTATATTTTTATTTTCATAAAAATAATACTATGTAAAGGCTTAGCTGAAATCTGCTTTCCTTTCATCTCTGTTATGACATATTTAGTCAGAATATTGATGTGCTATGATGCATATCTTGAAAATAACCTGCAACGTAGTTGGGATTTCTGTCAACCTCATAAGGAACTGATTCCGATGTTTTTTGAAGGGTTTCAGTATTATTGACACATGTTTTAATTTCAGTTAAAATATACTGCTTTTTCATTGCATAATATATAGAGGAAAGATGATACTGAGGCAGTTTTTATTGTAATAGATTTATATGTACATGATTTTGTTGGTTCACCTTGAGATTTAAAATCTTGTAATCTTTCTGAACCACAGTTTTATAAAAATAAAATAAAATATTGTCATATACGCTGATAACAAAAATGGATTAAGACCTTCCTTTGAACTTGTTGCTTTTTCCCTCATTCCCACTTTTGCTTTGTTTTCATTGTTTGTTTGTTTTTTAATTTTGGACTCAAATCATTCATTTACTTCACAAATAATTATTGACTGACTTAAATACCAGGTTCTGTGTTTACAGTGATGAATTGAAATAGCCCTTGACCTGGCAGAACTTACTCTTTGGGATTTATTAAGTGTCTAGTCATTGAGTACTTAGGCGTGATGCCAAGGACTTTATATATGCATCTTTTGATTTAATCCTCGTAACTACACTGCAAAGGTAGGTCAGTGCTTCTCAAATGTTTCTATTAAATAGAAGGCAGAGAAGAGGGAACTCTTGGGGATTGAAAGGGAGATAACAATCTGAGTACGGTAAGGGTGCTGGTGAAGGGGGAAAGCTTTGATGTTAAAATTGTTTTCGTCCAGGGGCGGTGGCTCACGCCTGTAATCCCAGCACTTTGGGAGGCCAAGGCGGGTGGATCACGAGGTCAAGAGATCGAGACCATCCTGGCCAACGCGGTGAAACCCTGCTGGGTTTGTGGTGCCATGCACCTGTAATCCCGGCTGCTGGGGAGGCTGAGGCAGGGGAATTGCTGAACCTGGGAGGCAGAGGTTGCAGTGAGCCAAAATCGTGCCACTGCACTCCAGCCTGGGCAACGGAATGAGACTCCATTTCAAAAAAAAAAAATTAAAAACTTACTCACATGTTGGTGGTGGTGGTGTGCACACCTGTGGTCCCAGCTACTCAGGAGGCCTAGGCAGGAAGATCACTTGAGTCCAGGAGTCTGAGGATGCAGTGAGCTATGGCCTTGTCACTGCACTCCAGCCTAGGAATATAGAACTAGATCCTATCTCAAAAAAGAAAAAAAAAATTGGCTTTTGCATTCTGTTAACATACCTTTCTTAGTTTTGATATAAACAAATTTTTAATGTAAAAAATGTTTAATTAGCATGAAAGAAGGTTAAAAAAAAAGTATCCTGTCCCAATTTTAGGGTGTAGAAAATATGTTACTAGGAGCAGGATTTTATAAACTTCAGGGCATCAAGGCTGCTTATTTATTTGTTAGTGTTGTTTTTAGGGGTTTTTTTTTTCTTTTTTATTTTAAGTAAACTTTTGAAGTGTAACATGCAAAGACATACACATATCATCATACAGCGTGTATGGTCTTTTATCTGGCTTCTTACCCTAAACATACATATATGGTTTTGTGATATGTGATCACCGAATATCTGAGACAGGTCTCAGTTAATTTAGGAAGTTTATTTTGCCAAGGTTGAGAACCTGTATGGGGGTAAACAGCCTCAGGAGGTCCTGACGACATGTGCCCAAGGCAGTCAGAGCATGATTTGGTTTTATAAATTTTAAGGAGACATGAGACATCAATCAACATATGTAAGATAAACATTGGTTTGGTCCAGAAAGGCAGGCCAACTCAGAGCTGGGAGAGGGCTTCCAGGTCAGAGGTAGATAGATACAAAGGGTTGCATTCCTTTGAGTTTCTCATTAGCTTCTCCAAAGGAGGCAATCAGATATGAATTTATCTCAGTGACCAGAGGGGTGACCGAATAGAATGGGAAGCAGGTTTGCCCTGAGCAGTTCCAGCTTGACTTTTCTCTTTCGTTTTTCCCTTTGGGTCCCCAAGGTTTTTTTCTTTTCACAGATCCAGTTATGTTGTCTGTAGCAGTAGTTTATTCTCACTGCTTCATAGTATTCCACTGTATGACTGTATCTTGATTTATCTGTTTTACTGTTAATGGTCCAGGGAATGTAGCTTGTAATATAATCATGGGGTCATATGTGTGCTTTGTTCAGTTTTAGTATAATCCAGTGATTTCCAAAGTGGTTGTGCCAAAGTATAATCTCATCAGTAGTAGATGAGAGTTCTAGTTGTCTCACATACTCTGCAACATTGGCTTGATATTCTGTCTCATATATTTAGCCATTCTGGTGGGTGTAACATAGTATTACGTGGTGGGTAGGCTATTTTCTTAAAATAAACACAATTTTTTTACCTACTCTTACCATTGGTCCCCTTTGTGCACATCAGGACCATGAAAGTGGAACAGAGGTATTTTCATAAAACCCATCAGATGATTATGGTTGCCTTGCCAATTGGTAAGATACAGAGTATACAACAACAAATTTAAGTATAATTTAAGGAAAATGAGACTGTCATGAAAATTATAGCTTCACAATGTAGTTTATTGACTTTCTGACAAATAGTGCACTTCTGTGTTGCTAAACATGGATGAGTTTTACAATTTTGCAAGCTGGTGAAAAATTGTGTAGGCTTTTTTATTTTATTGAGTGAGTCTGCAACATTGGCCCAAAGCTCCAATTACACAATGCTGGAATGTGCTTGTTTTTACTTGACCATCTACCCAGATTGCGGGTTGTGTCCATTCATTATTCTGTGGGGTTTTGCTACAGTTTAAAGAAGGGAAATATTATATAAGGAGATCTTTCTCAATTTTCAGAACTTGAAAAACGTTGAGAAAATAAATTTTACCATTTCCTCACAGCATGATGTGTGTTGTTTTGTATTTAATTTCTTGTTATTTGTGGAGTTTTTCTTTTGAGTTTCCCAGAAGTGTCGCTAAGCTATATTTTTTGTCATTTTGTAGTGAAAACCCAAGAGTGCAAAAAATATTTTTCCCTTGGATCCTTTTCAGTGTTAGGATTGTAGTTTTTCTCATTACTTAATTATTGTAGATTATGTTAGAATTGTATGTAGAGAAGTGTCATTCCTGCACCTTTTGGGGATAATATTTGTTGATTTCTTCTGTTAAGATATGCACGTAGACTCTTCACCCCTGATAAGCCCATAGTTTCCCCTTTCTAACATTTTTTACAGCTGTTATTTTTATATCTGACTTCATTTCTTACTACTGCAAAGTAATGTTTTAAAGTAGAGCAGCCATTTGATAAATAATGGTGCTCTACATATTCAAAAGTATTTACTGATATTGCTAGTCACAGGAATCTTGGAATTATTGCTCATCATTAGAAGAGATAAGATGTCATTATTTGTAAGACTTTTATTTTGAAATAAACCTGTTTGACAGCAATTAGCTAAGAAACCAAAGTACATGTTTAATGAAAGCATACACTTATGAAGCTGCTATTCTGCTTCTTTTTAAGATTTTCTACAGCATTGTTCATCAGCTCAAAAAAGCAGACAGTGGGTGGTTAGACTGATATGGAGTGGAGGGTTTACAGGATGGTTGTGGTAAAGAACAAAGTGAAATGTTAAGCATGTTTGCTGGATGGTGTTTGAAGTGATGCATTGTAGGCTTGAGGTTTGATAAGGAAGGAAGCGAAGCCATAATGAGAATAATGACTTTAAAAAAATGGGAAGGGGCTAAGGAAGTATTGGTAATAAGAGGTATTGAGGGATTAAATTACTGACAGAACAGGAATAAGGTC